ATAGACGAGTGCAGTGAATCAGCTGTCTGTGGTGATCATGCAGTTTGTGAAAACGTGAACGGTGGGTACAACTGCTCCTGCAAGGAAGGTTATCACACAGCCACGGGAAGATCCCAGTTCACAGCTAATGATGGCACTTACTGCCAAGGTAAATCATATTATTGTATTTAATGTATGGTTTGTGATTGAATAAAACTATACCAAATATGAATTACACAGCTGGCAAGTAGCACACAGCTACTCCTTCCAAGAAATGGGCCAGCGTTCCTTTATCTTCCATGAAATTAACAGAAGAAAGAGTATTGTTTGACACAGTGGAAGATATAGATCATATAGTTGATGTCATCAACATCCCCTAGTCCTTAAAAGTACTTTCTTTCATTTTTTTAAAAATAGTGTGTATTCTAAAACTGAAGCTGAAACTCAGGTATTACAGAATGTCCTTTTAATGTTTAAACATTAAGTGTGCAAAAATCAATGCAATTAATATGATCATTTTAAGTAAAAAAGTATTTTTAAAAAATGCATTGTATAATCTTTTTCCTTTTTCTGCAGAAGATGTGAATTCAAACTGCTATTTAGATAATGCCTGTATTGCTACAAATATTAATAAAACTTTATCAAAAGTAAGTAGACCGACTAAGTTGACAACTTATTTTATTTTGACATTTTTGGTTTCCGTTAAATTATTTCCAATGTCACATCTTAAGAAGAGCAACAAGAAGGTGAACTATGGGGAGAGTTGAAGCTACTTACATATATAGAGATCTAAGTATGATGGTTGAGTCACAGGGAGTATTAATTTGAAAATCCCAGAAGTATCCGAAAAGTCTTTTGCGTAATTAATTGGTTACTTTTTCATTATTTGGATACAGGATAATTCTTCTCAATATGTAAGAGAGTTGATGATTAAAATAGTAAAAATCTACTTTGACTCTAGACCCATTCCCACAGTTAAAGGAGACAGCTGAACACAACTAGATTGGTACAACAAAGTGAATATTTCAAAGAGCAAATAAAATAATATGTTCACAAAATTCCTGTCATATGTTTGAAATTGTGACTCTCAATCATAAGGAATTGGCTACCAGCTAAAGAAAACTTGCATTTAATCACACTGTAAGGAATGTTCTTTGGTTGATTAAAATCTAATTTAAAGTATTACATTATAAGCTTAGGATGTTAATATTTGTAAGTGATAAGAAGTTTAAATATTAAGGTAAGTTCACTGGATAGAATATAATTTTATATCCAAGAATATGAAGTTATTTTTAAAAGCTATTTTAAAAAATTATCAAGTCAAATATACCTGGTTTCTTTCTGACGTAATTTTTATGCTTTTGTTTGCTAATCGCCTGTAAATAAATTCAGGCTTCACCACCACAAGTTACGGCTGAAGTTTATTAGTTTGATATCATTTATATATAGAACAAGAAAGGAAAATTCACAATAAATTTAACATATAAGTTTTATTCTTGAAAAGCTCCAGTAGAACTCTAAATTAGTTTCCTTTTTTGTGGACTCATTTTTATCCAGATTAGGCCCATCAAAGAACCTGTGGCTTTGCTACAAGAAGTCTATAGAAGTTCTGCGACAGACCTGTCACCGATGGATATCATTACATACATAGAAATATTAGCTGAACTGTCCCCATTGCTAGGTTACATGAATAACACTGTCTCAACCAAGGACACCCCTCCTAATACAACTCTTACTGTAAGTATGCTGAGCTTTAACTCTTAACGTAATTGAGCTTGAAATTTTTTTCTTTCATCTGTGGTGAGTGTAGAATTCTAACATTTTTAAAAATCATAACTTTTCTTTTCAATAGGAATTTGTAAAAACGATGAATAATTTCATTCAAAAGGATACCTTTATGATTTGGGACAAGTTACCTACACATCGCAGGCAAACTCATCTTACAAAACTCATGCACACAGCTGAGCAGGCTACCTTGAGGATAACTCAGAGCTTCCAAAAGACCACCCAGTTTGATGCTAATTCAAGCGATGTAGGTAAGAAGGGGAGATCAATTTCAAAGCCATAGTGTGTTTTCAAACAAGCCTCTTCCAAAGGTTGGAGTATTTATAATACTGTTGACTGAATTGATAGTAGATTTATCAACGTAGAGATGAATGGTGGCGCGTATTACAAGAGCAGTAGGAACGGAGAGCTGGTCAAAAAGATGATCATGTACCTGTCGCCTCCTCCCTCTTCTCCTCCTCCTGAACTGTTCAGCATTTAAATGCTGAGTGTGCGTTGAGTCCCTTGTTATTTGAGTTCGCATTCTCATGATCTGGTAGGACCTAACCAACAGTAGTTAGATCTTTTGTTTGTAGTGTATTTGAATTTTTCTTTAGGCATTTTTTACCTTTTGATAATATGAAGCAGTCAACATAGTAAATTAGAGGGATTCCTGATTCCATGCAGTTTCATATTTAAACTGTGCAGGATTTTGTATCCAGTTGTGGATCCCAGTAAGGTTATCCCGAGGAAACAGGACACACCTGACATAATCATTGTATACATCGTGATTACATTTTCTGGGTGACGTCCTGCTATACAATGGTAGATTGCAAAGTCTCATCAGGATTCACCATTTACGTGAAATCAAGCATTGTGATTAATAAATAGGTGTCTATATTTTTATAATATTGTTCCATGAAAAAGTTGAAATTATTTCAGGTAAGGGAATTATTACTCAAGAATTTAGTTCCATCATTCTTTTCACAGTAAGTTATGTTATAGATTCCGTACTCTAAGACATGAGAGTTGCTTGACTTTGGTAAAATATAATTTATACTTTCAGTACAAACATGTGGCATCTTTTACTTATTCAATAAAGATTAAACAATGAGCACTAGAGTACAATAAAAAAACTTGAGTCCGATTTTTAAGATACAAATTATACTGCCCAAACCTATTCATATTATGTTCATTCTCCTTGCCATAAAGAAGAACTTGAAATATAAGAATGATGAACTAAATTATATCCAAGAAAGTAATTATATTGATTATGTATAATGATTAAACTAATTTCAGATTCTTTTATTTTCACGGTTTTGTTGCAGCTCTCAAAGTTTTCTTCCTTGACCCAAATCACATGACACATATTCATCCTCATATGAAAGTGGATGGAGATTATATCAATATATTTCCAAAGAAAAGAGCCTCATTTGACTCAGATGGTAGGCCTTTAACAGTCTTATATATGAGTAAAATATTCTATATTGAATTTGCGATAAATCCTTGTCGTGTACTTGATTATATCAGATGTGTATATAACACGTGTGGTTTCCTGTAGAAAAAAACTTGATATTTTTACAGCTTTCAGCACTTCCATATTGCTACTTGAGATATTCACCTTGATACAGATAGCTTGGGAGAATTTTAGTTGACAATATCTGAGTCCTTGCCTTCCCTCCAGCCTCTGTAACTGCCTGGTATTCTCAACATTCCAAAGAAAATATACAAAAGAACTCTGATTTTACTACTCCTCCTGCAGCAGGCAAAATGCTATAATTTTTGGATTTTTTAAATCTTCTTCTTCAATAATAAATCATATTCTTCATCATGAGATTAAGTCTGTGATTGTTTGAGGAAGTAAAATAGAAATGATTTTTTTTTAAGGAAGTTATTGTTAAGGCTCAGACCTCTCTCTCCATTTGTCATTTCGTTGTAAACTCTTTAACTAAAGTCAACCTTAAAGAACACACATTGGATCAGAGAATGCTGGCACTGGCAGGCAATTTCATGATTTTATAACTGAATATCCTTCTGTGGACGATGGAACTAATGCACGAAGTTAATGGATTTGTCTCCCTGGTCGTCTGCAGACAGCACAGAACCAGCTCTAGAAGGGAGGGAGCTAACAAAGGAATCAGTCCTTCCTAAAAATAAGTAACCTTTTCCTTTTCAACTCACTAGAGTTGACTCACTAGAGTCAAGCAAGTAGCGATTATTTGAACCGTGTATTTCCTCTCTTATGCAATGCATGTAGAAAAAACTCTGCTGAGTGAAATTTTGTTATCTTTTGTCCTCATATAGGTAAAATATATTACCTAGAGAAAATGGGGATTGTAATATTTTCTCAAAGAATATGTGGATGGTCATAAAAACAAATGAAAAATATATAACAACACACATATAGTTTCATGCGGACACTCTTTCATAAAAGATATATTTTTCCTTGTTATAAAATACGCCACACTTACTCTCAGAATAGCATCTTCTTTTTGTGTTATTTGTTGTGCACCGATGTCGGATTTTTTTCTCTAATCCATCAGTATTACCCTCTCCATTCTTTCTTGTCTTTTTCTACACAGAAGTAAGCAATAGCTATTCATAAAACAAAGCAAAAATAACTAAGCCATACTATCATCAAACCCTGGGCTCTTATCCTATTACACCGTATTCTAATTAACCAGGCATACATTTGTGATTTAGGAGCAAAGCTAACAAATGTATAAAAAGTTTAAATTTCAAAGACAATTTGAGTAGTGTTTGGGGGAAAAAGACATTGAAAATACTTATTATAGTGACAGGTGATGGAACTGTCATGGAATTAATATCTCAGAGAGATCTCGTTTGATCGTATAGTAGCTTTGCTGTATTTAATGCTCCTAGATATAAGCTGACATTTGAAAGGAACAATAATATCAGCTGTTGACAAAGGAGAATGAAAAAATATGTTTCCCTCAAGGTGGGATCTAAAAATAAGGGCAAATCTAACAAACTGACCAAACTTTCTCAATGACATCCACATGGAATTATCCATTTATTGGCAAAATTCATGAATAAAACACGTGGATTATGTAAAACATGTACAATGCAATTAGTAGGAAAATAAAGGCAATCTATGGGGCATAGATGGATTTTTAATCTTTCTTTTATAAATTGAATTTTAGAAGAATTAAGAGGAAGGGGTTGAGAATGAACAGAATAAGATTCAATGTTCTCAAGTATGGTTTTAGCATAAAAAAGATAATAGATTTTTGGTGAGAGATTCCACATATTTATTTTTACTTATGACATTGGAGTAATTATTTGTATGACCCAAAAAAGCATATGAAGCCGTATTGAGAAGGTGTTTTGAATTATTCTCAAGTGAAACTAGCAATAGGGCAGTTATAGGACAATGATTTTCTCAGGAGTCCGTTGTGATTCTCTAAGGAATTCATTACAGATGCGATGTGGTAAAAAGTTCTATTAATTTTATTTAAAAGTAACCCAAGCTCAAAACAAAATAATAGGAATAAGAAAGAAGAGCTATTGAGTGGGGATCCATTAACAAATATACATAAGTATTAATTCTGGAGTAAAATCTTCAGAACTTTCACAGTTATTTGTGCTATGTAATGGCTCAAATAAATACGTGTTCTATTCATTGAATTAAAGACCATATCTTGTTCTTAGTAAAGATATGGTAAAGGTAAAACATATAAGAAATATCTTAGGGCAAAAAGACTAGAATAAACATTGTAAGAAGAAAAATAGGGAAAGGTGGACAAAAATTTAATGGAAAATGACTTATTCTTTTCAAATAATTCATTTTTTTAGCAACTTTCATTGATCTAGTTTTTTACAGAATGTACAGATTAGGGGAGAGAATTCCAACTTAGATCAGGCCTAAAATTAGAGAGAAATCATGAGAATTGGAAGAGGTTTAAAATGATGAGAACAGAGAACACTGAGGCAGTATTCATGAAGGATGGAGAGGTACCCTAGCAGCACCTCTTACTCAAAGTCAACACTTGATCTTAAATAAATACTTTCTTTTAGAAAGCATAATAGCACGTAGTAGACTTTTTTAAGTCACTCTTATACTTTTTATTATTCATTTGATTTTGGACCATCTCCTGCCACAACACCTGAGACGTCTCTGTGCCATGAACAGATTTATCAGCAGAACCAGGTCACGTCTGCCTAAATGGCATCTAGGTCATGTCTGCCTAAATGGCATCCAGGTCATGTCTGCCTAAATGGCATCTAGGTCCTGCCTAAATGGCATCCAGGTCCTGCCTAAATGGCATCCAGGTCGTGCCTAAAAGGTATCCAGGTCATGTCTGCCTAAATGGCATCCAGGTCCTGCCTAAATGGCATCCAGGTCCTGCCTAAATGGCATCCAAGTCCTGCCTAAATAGCATCCAGGTCCCTGCTCTGATATAGCAAAGGCTGGGTTAACTTTTGGAGTCATAATTTCACTATCCCAGCCAGGTCGTCCTCACATCCATTTCTTTTTCTAATGTAAGCTTTCTAAGCTGACAGTTAAGAAAAATGCTCTATCTAACGTGTCTGGGGTTAGCAAGGCTCTTAGCAATCTCTCTTGAGGTACTGTTTTAGATTAAGACAGAGAACATGAATGCCGATACACTTTGGCATCTGATAGCTAACATACTTGTATCCAGAGAATCCTATTTATTAGTGTGACTAGGTTTCCAGTTTGGTTATTACAGCCCTTTGTTTTTGATGATGTTACCAACAGTGGTGTTTATGACTTTGTAGTGTTGAGTTATGTATGTGCTGATGTGCTGCATTTGGGAGTTTCCTGGGCACGGAGAAATGGCTGCCTCCCAAGGGAATCTATTTCCTAGCCCGACACTGCATAACTATATGTTATCAATATTAAGTAGGAGCCAATACAGTGGGCATAAGTTTGAACTCAGTGACATGTCACAACTCATTCAATCTAAGCCCGTGATAATTTTCTCCCACTATCAGTTCAATTTATATATTTGCACAGGGAAGTAATAACTTAAAATTTTCTCTTTCAAGTGGATATACTTCACACCCTGCTTCTTAGGATTTGGATTTAAATTTATCAAGGGCTATTTTTCATCTGAATGTAGTGTGTGCTAAGGGGATACTACAGTGCATGATTATTTTTGGATCCACCTAGGTCAGAGAATATAAATCTGAATATGGTGTAGTTATGGACTGACTGTGGCCCACATTTTAATATCTGGGTATTTGTATAATTCCTTTAAAATTTTTGTCTATTTTTATGTTTACTTTAAGAGTTAAAATAAATTATTCTATAAAAATTTTACTAAGTATACTTCTTGGATTGATAGGCAATGTTGCAGTGGCATTTTTATATTATAAGAGTATGGGTCCCCTGCTGTCATCATCCAACACCATCTTTTTGGAACCCCAAAATTATGATAATTCGGAAGAGGAAGAAAAAGTCATCTCTTCAGTCATTTCAGTCTCAATCAGCTCAAACCCACCCACATTGTATGAACTTGAAAAAATAACATTTACATTAAGTCACCTTAAGGTAAGTTGTTTTCCTGATAGTTGTTGGCTATGATCGTAATATATTTATCTGAATAAATGAGCTATTTTTTTTATTGTGTTGCTTAAATTATATGCAAGTTTAAAAATACAGAACCAAAGATAAAATAAAAAAGTAGTTTTAACTAATTTTTCTATAAAATATTTTTGGACTCTTAGTGCTCTTTGACTTACTAACCAACACCAAAGAAATTACATATTTGATTATCTGAAATTAGGCTATATGTTAGTTTTATTTTTAAACATATTGTGCAATTTGGAAGTTTTCATATCTTTAAGGAATGAGTTATAAAAAGTATCATGATCAAAAAATAATATCGGCAATGCCCGTGACTTAGTGAATAGGGTGCTGTCCACATGCACTGAGGCTGGTAAGTTCAAACCCAGACCAAGCCAACTAAAGCAACAATGACAATTGCAACAACAACAAAAAATAGCTGGGCACTGTGGTGGGCACCTGTAGTCCCAGCTACTTGGGAGGCTGAGGCAAGAGAATCGCTTAAGCCCAGGAGTTGGAGGTTGCTGTGAGTTATGCCACCACAGCACTCTACAGAGGGCAACAGTTTGAGACTCTGTCTCAAAAAAAAAAAATAAATAAATAAATAAATAAATAAATGTCATTTGTGTAATACGGAAGGTGTTTGGTTAATAGTTATCATTTAAAACAATACTTGGGGGCAGCGCCTGTGGCTCAAAGGAGTAGGGCGCCAGCCCCATATGCAGGAGGTGGTGGATTCAAACCCAGCCCTGGCCAAAAACTTCAAAAACAAAAAAAAAAAAAATACTTGAAGGTGTTCGAGTATTGATTAAAACAAAATCATAGAGAAGTTTCAATATTCCATACAGAAATTAGTTGATACCATTTTACTCTTTTTAGTCTATATCATGATTTAAGTGATCTAAATCATTTTTCAAACTCACATATAATTAAAACTACCGAATAGAAAAGCATGATTAGAACTACATAGTTACTTTAATTAAAATTGAGTGAGGAAATTCAGAATCATCGATTGTTGGCTGTCTTCTTTTACAGCCAATGGTTTCGTGGACTTTCAGCATATTTCAGTTCTAGTACATGGTTAAAGTATCTCTGAAGCTCCATTTGAAAAATATTCTATCTGACCAATGTATTTGTATATTTATAAGGAAGGAGCAGCTTTCTAACCCAAAAGAACATACATGCTATATATGCTTACACAGTACAAACGTATCCCTGTTAAGTAAAGACATGTAAGAGAGAGAGAAAATAAATGCCGAGAAAATTAAGTAAAAAAGCTCAAAGAAACCAAGGGTGAGCATTGCAGTAAGGGAGAAAGAAGATGTGAAATGTTTTAAGCGTGGAAACTAAGCTGGGATTTATTTTTCAGATGCTAAATCCCAAAGATCTTTTTAAGAATACAAATTGAATGCTGTTCTTTTACACAGTCTGGTGGCTTTTCTGTGTTGTTGTTTTATATATTTATATATTAAGGAGGTAGGAATGTTTTTTGTTATGTAGATAGCTTTCATAATGCTATTTGGGCTATTAGCGTGCCCATCACCCAAATAGTGTTTACTGTACCTGTTAAGTAGACATTTACCACCCCCCTCACCTGACTTCCCCCCTGCCTGATTCCCAATGATTTTACTTCTTCCTGTGCCCATCAACTAGTTAACAACTTATTAGAGAAAACACGTGGTGTGTGTTTTTCCATTCCTGAGACACGTCACTTAGGGTAATGCTGAGTGATTGTATGATTGCCATGTTGAAGGCACAGCAGAAGACCTTGCACCACACCCCCGACCACCTTCTTTCTTCTTTTCCTGGTTTTCTCATTTAGAAATTTTTCATTGCCAACAGGAAAATGAGATCAACAATGCAAGTATTTTTTTCTATTTCTTTAAGGGCTATATTTTTAGTACCGGGATTGATGACAAATCCTGAATATCCAGTAAATGCTCAAAAACATTTATTGAACAACAACAAAAAAAAAAAAAAAAAAGTGAGAAGCCTGGGTCAGACAGTGCTCTAAATGACATACGCATGATCTCATTTAATAAATATTATCACAACGAGTTGTGACACAAGATTGATAAAATACAGCATTTCTGCAATGTAAATTTGCCTTCTTCACAAAAGAGCAGCCTAGATTTATTAGGATTTGTTTTCGGTTTCACTTTTAGGCATCATTTTACTCTTTAAATGGTGCTCTACCTAGGACCAAAGCAATACTGTATGCATCACTTTTTCTCTTTCATTCATCAGTACAATCTCTCTTTTGCAGACCACAGGCAGGTATAGGAGTCTGTGTGCCTTCTGGAAATACTCGCCTGATACCATGAATGGCAGCTGGTCTTCAGAGGGCTGTGAGCTGACCTACTCCAATGAGACCCACACCTCTTGCCGGTGTAATCACCTGACCCATTTTGCAATTCTGATGTCATCTGGTCATTCCATTGTAAGGCAGTTTTCCACACCATATTTACAAATCTACCTGTCTATGTTCTACTTTCTTGTTTTTTCAATCTCATTTGATAAAATAATTTTATATGTTTTGCTTAGATATAAATACACATTTATTATGACTGATAAAACTCCAATATTATCTTACTTTTAATCTTTGTTTTCCTACCTGCCATCTAAGACATCTGGTCTGTGTGACACAAAGGTTATTTTAAGTCTAAGATTTGTGTAGTCTGTAATATCGAATAGGTTGCATATTAAATTAGCTTTTAATGCTGCTTTCAAAAACTATTCACTCATTTTAATGTATCATGGGATTTAGGCCTTCTGCCTTAGTGTTCAAAGTTTATTTTGACCATTGACAAAGTCCCTAAAAATCTTTGGTATTTGGTCAATAAGTAGAAACACATTTATAACTAATGTAATGTTTTTAGCCATGTAGAACCCCACAGAAATTTCAAAAATGATAAATCTCTTTAAGGTAAATAGCTCCCTAATATGCATTTTACTTCAGTAATATCTTACATTATCAGTTCTTGGCCTTTTCGCTAAGATCAAGTATAGTAATATCTTACATTATATGCTTATTAAATAATTTCTTACTTTATAGCCTTGTATCCCAATCTTCATTAGAATGTAGCTCTATGTCCATAGGTTTAGAATCCACCATTAAGTATATAAAATAGCCACATAAATCTGCCTAAAACGTATTATCAATCAAAAGGTGATTTATTTTTCTAGGTGTTAAGCAAAAAGCCTTTATTCTATATATAAAAATAAATATTCCTCAGGCGGCACCTGGGGCTCAGTGAGTAGGGAGCTGACCCATATACTGAGGGTGGCAGGTTCAAACCTGGCCCCGGCCGAACTGCAACAACAACAAAAAATAGCCGGGCATTGTGGCAGGCGCTTGTCAAAATAAATTTTATTCTGTCACCTAATCAAGACATTTATTTTATTTGGTCCCAGCTACTGGGGAGGCTGAGGCAAGAGAATCACCTAAGCCCAGGAACTGGAGGTTGCTGTGAGCTGTGTCGCCATGGCACTCTACCGAGGGCAATAAAGTAAGACTTTGTCTCTACAAAATAAATAAATAAATAAATAATAAATATTCATCTAGTTAGGGTAAAACCAACATTCCCCATTTGAAAGCCTCTGAACTATCCCATTCTGACAGTCCGTACATTCACGATTGCTGACACCTTCATCTAATACGTTCTAGATGAATCACTGCATAGAAATAAGACTTGGTCTTAGCGCTGATAAATCTGTTTTAATTAACCATTTTCACATTACAATAATGAATTGCCTTTCTAATAAAATGAAATTAATGATGATAACATTGTTAAACCATATACTAATAAATATACTGTGCCTAGAAAAAAAATCACCAATTACTGAGCTGTAAAAGTGCTACATGATTTATATCAGATTTCCCTGAATATTGAGGAGTTTCAAAAGTACAAAATGTTTCTCATCTAAATGCACAGTTATAGTTTTACATTTTATGAACATTTTGATTAATGTTTCAGTGAAAAAAGGAAGTTCATTATATGTTATAGTTACCAAGTCATTCTCTTAACAGCTTTATTATTATTTTCCCTTAGGGCATTAAAGATTATAATATTCTTACAAGGATCACTCAGCTCGGAATAATTATTTCACTGATTTGTCTTGCCATATGCATTTTTACCTTCTGGTTCTTCAGTGAAATTCAAAGCACTAGGACAACAATTCACAAAAATCTCTGTTGCAGCCTGTTTCTTGCTGAACTTGTTTTTCTTGTTGGGATCAATACAAATACCAATAAGGTACGTAGGCCCTGGTCTCCATTTTATTTTGTATGTATTTGTAGTTTATATGTGTCATCAAAGCATGCATTATAATTAAGGGTTTAATGGAGCAAATATACTGTGTAATTGTTCTAAAGCTTTTCTTTCGAAGTTTCATAATGGTAACAAATCTAAACAAACTACTTATCGAGTCTATTAAACAAAGACAGAGGAGAGAGAGAGAGCTGGGAATAAAGTCTATCTCAGGATAGCGACTGAACATTAAAGTAAAGCAGGGTTTGTAGACTGAAATATAGTTTGTTTCTATCTGGTATCTGCACTTTCCACCTACCCATTTCCCAAGTTCATTATCTTGAATCTCCCCAAATAGTATTGTGTTGTGCTGAGTCCTCCTGGAAGCAGGTACTAAAATGGAATTAACCATGCTATATATTCAGTAGAGGAAATGCCTGTGAAAGGAAATGAGCAGAGCCTGGGAGAGTCATCAGAGCAAGATGCAGGTCTGCCCCAAGTGAAGGACCGAGGGAAGAAAGGGAGGGGAGATGGAAAGAGCAGGGTATTAAGGAGGCCTGTGGGGGGCAGTCTTAGACCCAAAGTCACCTGTCAAAGGAATCCTTTGTCTCTTAGGAGCCAGGATGTTTCAGGGACCCTGACGTGCTCGGCCCCAGGCTGGGGGCAGTGTGAACCCAGTCAGGGGTTTCACAGCCTTCCCGCTGGAGCGTCAGGGCAACTGCACTCCTTGCAGTTGGAGATTGAGGAAGGGTATTCTCAGGACCACAGAACAAGGCGCTGCCTCCGTGTTTCCATTCTTCAGGAATTTTTCAAAGACTGACACTGCCAATCAGACATCAAGGTCTCATGCTGAAGCAGATGCTGCAGAGCATCTATTTTAAATAATACGCACTTGGATACAGACTCCTCGTTCCTGTTTCGCACTTGCCTCCCCTGTCCTCCGATGCCTATCTCCTCCTTCACCACCCAGCGTCCTCTTCCCTCCAAAACGATTTCTGGTTGTGCTGATTTGCAACTCTCTGGCTCAGCGAACACATCCTTCCCATTTTCAAGCCTCATCTGAAATCTCACTTCCTCAGTGATGTGATTCCCAGATTTTAATTGCCAGTGATCACACAGTTTCCCCAACCTTATAGAGAACTCTCTAATATACTCAATAGTTAATCTTATTAGTCTTGAATTATTTCTGTTTTAATGAGTGGGATAGGCATCTAAGTGTGCATGATGTGATCCCTGTGGTGATACGGCTTGTTAGTTCTATCATACGAGGGCGTGTAACTACTCCTCTTTCTGTTATTTCTTACAAGCTTAACTCCAATCCTAGAGGTGAAGTAAATACTAATAAATAATGATAAAGAAATAAATAATGTTTAGCTGAAAGCTAGCTCGTATTTCCTTGATAACATTCTAACTATAAGTGATTCTATCATGGATATTTCAGTAAAATATATCATTTGCCAGTTTGGTAAATTTTATTTTGTCACCTAATCAAGACACTTATTTCATGTGGTTGAGCACTATAATTGGTAATTTTCATTCATTGAGCATGAATGGAATAAAGGAAGGCACCTCAAAGACAGAAATCAACTCAAAACATTCTCACCAAGATACCGTGCTGTACATGGGAATTATCCATGATTCCTCCCACAGCATACGTGTGTAAAAAGAAGAAATCTCAGAACAAGGACAGTAACTTCGTTCTATCACGGGATTGGTTGATGCTTCACGTTGATGACACCCAGTTCATTTAGATCAGCTAGAGTTAGCACATCCTCATAAACTAACATGCCGGAGATATGTCAGTGTGATCAATGATTACCAAAAAAGTTTGATCATTTATGGAGAAAGTTGAGACTTTGTGTGATGATGATTGCCTGTGGTTTCCCTGCTTGCTTTGTAGCTCTTCTGCTCAATCATTGCTGGGCTGCTGCACTACTTCTTTTTAGCTGCCTTTGCGTGGATGTGCATTGAAGGCATACACCTCTATCTCATCGTGGTGGGAGTCATCTACAACAAGGGATTTTTGCACAAGAATTTTTATATCTTTGGCTATCTCAGCCCAGCGGTGGTGGTTGGATTTTCAGCGGCATTAGGATACAGATATTACGGCACCACCAAAGTGTAAGTTAAGATGATTTCAAGAGATTTGAAATGCAATCCTCAATATGTGTTGTGTGCCTTTGAGATTTTACTTTGTGAAAGGTACCTACACACATGTTTTTTGATTTTATCTATTATTTACTTTTCAGATGTTGGCTTAGCACCGAAAACAACTTTATTTGGAGTTTTATCGGACCAGCATGCCTAATCATTCTTGTACGTATGTATGAAATTGTTATTAGAATTTAGAAAGGTGGTGGCTAAAGGATGCTTAAAATTCCTAGAGGTTAATCTAAACAACAAATAATTTTGACAACTTTACAGTATATCATTTATTCTCATTTTATATATACATTTATTTATATAAATATTTATATTTATATATATATATATATATATATATATATATATATATATATAATGTGATGGAGAAAAAAATATATGTGTCTTGTAAATTCAACGGCATTACAGTTCATTTACCCCTTCAGTAAGAGGATAGATTTCTGCACACAGAATCTTTCTAACACAGAGGAGAAAGCATTTTTCACTTATCAGGAATATCTCAACATACTTCACTACTGAGAATGTGCCAGCCAACCGATAATCTGGCGTTTAGATGTTTACGTTATTTAATCTTCTGTCGATGATTGGTCATCTTTGAAGATTAGACTGTCATCTTTATGGTTTTGTCGTCTTTATGTACCCTGTCATCATACGGTGATTTTAAACTAAATTGCGACGTCAGAGAGACAAGAACCCGCTATTTCTCATGTACAGACAAGTCATGCATTGATGGTCCTATTTCAGCAAGGAAAAGGGCCTTTTAATTCATACTGGAAATGGTTTCAAACCTACAAATTTGGCAGGTATCACATGTTCCATTCTAAATAAAAACATTTTTATATGTCTCAAGAACATCTCTCTGTGTTGAAAGTTCTCAACAGCCATTCTGAATATAATAGTCTGTCAGTGAATCTGGGAGGTTTCACAACACCCTGGTGTGGAATGAACGTTCCCTAGAGGAGTTGTGACAATATTCTGGGCAACTCTGTTCCAAATATCTGGACCATAAGCTAGCCATCTTCTTTGAATTTCTTTTTCTCTCACAGTCTTTTCTCTTGAGTTTGTTTGTGGTTATGAAAGAGCTTCTAAATAGAGAAAGACTTGAAATGTAAAGCAGAGAATTTTCATCAAGCTTTCCTTTTGAATGTCTGGGTGAAATCAAGTGCATTCAGAAACTGTGTTTCCTAATCATCATAGAAACTGTTTCTAATTCTCACAGTGAATCCCGCAGTGTTTAAAAAGGAAAAGCCATTGGCTGCATCTCAGCTAAAACAATTTGAGTTAATTTGTTAAAACGACAAAAATTTCACCCCACAGAAGAACACAAACTGAAAGTTGTCCCATTCACAGTCTCGTGGGTTGCCCTGATGTGACTATTTTGGGCGAAGATGTAGTCTGTGTATTCTAATTTTACAGATGGCCTCAGTACAGAGTGAACATTCTCTGATACTGTTCCATACACGTGAGTTCTGTGGAGCCAAGATTCTCAAAGTTTAAATGAAAAATTGCAGGCTTACAATTATACTGAGACAGAAAAAACCACCATGTTTTCTCTAAAATATGAAAGGGAAAGTATTCTCTGAAATCCTTTTTTACAGTTGCTTATGTAAGGCTAATTTGAATTATTTTGTAGTAAGGTACAGAGACATTAGATGGCTTTACCGAAAACTGAGTCCTGTAAACTTTCCTGGAAGTCTAAATGAACACACTGTTTTGGTCTGAAATTAGTAAACCAATTTATTTCCTGTAGGTTTCAGTATGATAAACATTCCCTGATTAACCAGAGAGTCAGGCTACTTAAAAAAAAAAAATGGGTGAGGCTTTTCAGCTTTATTCTAAAATTAAATACTGTTTATCTTATATAGTATCTTTTAAAATACTAAAAAAATAAACAATTAATGAATCAAAGTGAATTAATTTACTCTAGTTACTTTTGTTCTCTATTAATGCTGGCATAGCACTATTATTATTCAGCTGTATAATAAAATGTTAAGTGACACTTTCCCTGTTACCCCAGAATAGTCCCTAGTTTAAAGATTAGTAAAAGAGATATTAGGCACCAAACATTTAAAAAAGAGTCTCTAGGAGTTTGGGCCCAACTCCTTCCATGAGTCTTACAAAGGGACAGAAGGGGCAGCCATAGCAAGAGGACAGCAGAAGGACCCTCACACGGTGGTGGCTCAAAGTCAGGAGTCCATGGCCTTTGGGGAGTGCAATGTCCCCTGGTGGAAGCTTTTCTTGTCCCTGTCCATGAGTATAAAAGGTGAGTCTCCTGTATCCCCCGAGGACGAGATGTGGAGTACTCCAAAGTGTCCAGAATATGAAATCAAAATGATAAATTTTCATCCTCATCCCAGATCGCTAGTGTGAGTGTAGAATTTTCATGTCTATAAGATATATAAGAAAAGCAGAGTGTGCTGAGAAAATTTTTTTATGAGAGTTTAACATCTATCCCCTGATTTGGGGCCAAATGTGAACCTTGAGACTAGCACCTGCTTTTCTCTGGAGTTCCCTGCAGTCTGCGTGTTTCCTGACATATTCCCGAACAGCAGGGCAGGAAGAGATCCCTGTGTCGTGTGTGCCTAAGAGTAAAGAGGAGGCGGCGCCCGTGAGAGCTTCAGCTACTCTGCAAGCACAGGAAAGTCAGAGAAGGGGAAAGAAGCTGCCGCACTTCCCGGGTCAGGAAGAGAACAGTTTGCATGGAGACACGGCCATTCTTCTTTCAAGAACTAAAGGGACCAAGATGAAAATGAAATCCAGTGAACACCAAGTGAACAGGACTTACCATCTAAGCAGATGCTATCTCAAACCAAACTGCTAACAGGGGTAAGAGCTACGTGATATCACGACACTCCCCCATCAGCAGCAGGTGGGCAGACCCTTCTAGCCTCCTAGAGCAGCGTTGTGGAGCCTTAGCAATGGAGACGCAGCATCTCAGGGCCAGCATTCTGCCCTGACTCATAGACACAAATGTATATAACTACAAGTTTATAGAACAGAAAAAGAAGTAAAGACCACATTTTTCTAAAATTGCAAGTTACTAAAAACTATGGCATGCAAATTTCTGGAAGTATCTACAGAAAAAAAACATTGCTTTTTATAATACAAAAACTTCCACTTCACCAAATAGAAATACTGCTCTAAACTGACTTCAAATGTTCTAAATCAATCACCAGTCGCGATTGTGGGAATAGCAATGACCAATTGATTGGAAAATCAACTGTGCTTGGAAAGGTTCGGGTAGGTGGGGATACCTGGTCATGGAGTTAGATTCGTATGTTAATTTGGTGCTCTGGACAGGACAGGAATACAAAGAAAATATAGAATCATCCTCTTCCTGCTATAGGATCAAAGGGGAGAAAGCAAGACAAAAACAAGTGAGGAAGAAAATATATAATCAGGGGTGGTGCCCATAGCACAGCAGTTACATCGCCAGCCACATGCACTGAGGGTGGCAGGTTTGTACCTGGCCCAGGCCAGCTAAACAACAATGACAACTGCAACAAAAAAATAGCCAGGCATTGTGGTGGGTGCCGGTAGACCCAGCTACTTGGGAGGCTGAGGCAAGAGAATCGCTTAAACCCAAGAGTTTGACACTGCTGTGAGCTGTGACACCACAGCACTCTACTGAGGGCAAAACAGTGAGACTCTGTCTCAACAAAAAAAAAGAAAAAAGAAATAAAGAAAAGAAAAGAAAAAGAAAATGTATATAATCAATATAAGTTGATACTGGTGAGATGCCAGAGAGATCAGCCTGAGCTCCCAAAGCCATTCCAGAAGTCTTCATGGAGATGGAGGACCTTGCCTTTGGACGTGCCCAGAAGCAGACTACACTCAACGTGTGTATGGTAGTGAGTGACCAGCAGGGGATTCCAAGTGTGAACTTAGGCAAGCAGCCCTAAGCTTGCCAGATTCCTTTAAGGGAGAAGAAAGGACAGAGGAAGGAATAGAATTATAAACCAGGTGATAGGAGAAATCATCTGAATCACCTTTCTTCATAGCCTCATCACTGCCTTGTCTAGATTGTCATTAATCACGTCTCAAATTTTTGTCTCCATAAATAAAATCACCTGTTCCTTCTCCTCTGCTTTTGTCATCAGGCCCTTGCTACTCCTCGTGAAGATTCTAGAATTGATAACAAGTTCCTTTACCTTCACAAATTATCAAGCACCTATTGCTTTTGCAAAACACAGCTCATAACCCAGCATCATGGCAGGTGCCTGTAGCCCCAGCTACTCAGGAAGCTGAGGCAAGAGGATCACTTGAACTCAGGAGTTTGAGACCAGCCTAAGCAAGAGCAAGACCCCATCTCTAAAAAATTGCCGGGCATTGTGGCAGATGCCTGTAGTCCCAGCTACTTGGGAGACTGAGGCAAGAGAATCACTTGGGACCAAGAGTTTGAGGTTGCTGGGAGCTATGACGATGTCACAGCACTTTACCGAGGGTGACAGAGTGAGACTCTGTCTTGAAAAAAAATGAAACACGTAGCCCATTGCTGAATACTCAAAAATCTATCACATTCTTATTATTCATTGTATGGTTAAAGAAATGTAGAATCTGATTCAAATGTTAAGTGGCTGGCCCAGTCCTATAAGTCTGCAGGTAAATGCTGGATAAGAACGTGAAACTTTTTCTTGTGTTAATCTAAAGCCACTTTTCATGTTCCGTTGCCTTTTTTGCAATTGCCTTCTAACCCGTCTTCTGCTGCTATTCTCTCCCATTTCATTTTAATCTATCGAGAATTAAATGGATTCAGACTCAGACTCAGTTCAGATAATAGGAACGGTTAATAATAACAAGAAGAATGTTAATGTTAATCCAAGATATTTCTGGAGGGAATGTAAAATTCTTCATGTGTTAGCACATTTAATCTAATCCTTTAAACACGTCAATAATGTCTGTCTGTCTGTCTGTGTACGTGTGTGGGTTTTATTCTATTTGGAAGTAGGATAAATTGAGACATAGACTGATGACATAGCCCAAGAGCTGGTAAGTGCCCCAGCTGCAACTCATCCTTATGAATCACATCCATTGCCTGCCAGATACACAGTAGCTCACACCTATAATCCTAGCATCCTGGGAGGCTGAGCCAGGAGGATCTCCTGAGCTTAGAAGTTCAAGATCAGCCTGAACAGGAATGAGACTCAGTCTCT